TTCTCCTTCCCATGGTACCCTGGCCTTTTCCCAAGTGGAGAATCTGTATAGACTATATTAATATCAGTGGGCTCCATCGTCCTCATAGTGGGACCCAGGCCAAAGGAGAGAACTGGCAGGAAATCAGAGGAAGAGAGTAGGGTAGGGGTCCCTGTGGGGTCGCCTCAGGCTAGTTGCTTTGGTTAACCAAAAGTCTCAGCTCCTGGGAGGTGATGGCCTTCTCTGCTCTGTCCTCTCTTTCCCTACCTCCTGCCCCTTCAGTTCTGGGTGGTAAAGGCTCCTCTCACTGTTGTTTTGGCCACACCATTGTAAACAGGCCCTTTATGAAACTGTCCCTTTGCAACCTCATTTTGAGTGTATCGTCTGTTTTCTATTGAGACTTATTTATACCATATCATTCACAAAATTAAATTCCAGGAAGATTAAAGACCTAAATTTATTTTTATATTTATAAAAATATTTAAAATATGGAAATATATTTATAACCTTAGAGGTAGGAAGATTATTTTTGAACCGGAAACAAAATCAAAATTCATAAGGAAAAGGACTGATACATTGGATTAAAATTAAAATTTCAGATTTCTGGATAAATAGACACCCATAAACATAATTAAAAGAAAGACTTGAAATTTATGAAAAAATGTTATTATCTGGAATATATAAAGATCAATTTTAAATATATTTAAATATATAAAACTATATATTTATATATAAAATATATTTTGTATATAAAATATATTTTTATATAATTAAATACTTTAAAATCAATTTTTAAAAGCTATATTATTAGAAAAATGACAAGAATATGAACAGGCCATTCACAGAAGAAGAAACAGAAATAGAATAAACATGTGAAAAGATTCTTAATACTACTAATAATCAGAAAAATGTAAATAGCATAAGATACCATTTTTAACTTCAGATTGACAGAACTTTAAAGATTGATAATATTAAGAGTTGTTGAACAAGTAGGATATAGGCTCTCTTATTCATAGTCAGAGAGAATGTTTAAACTGGCAAGTTTTTTGGAGGAAAATATGACAATGTCTATTAAAATTATATATGTACACCCCTTATGATCCCGTTTCTTGGAATCTACTGGGGATAAAAACTTGCATATTTGCTCAAAGAGGCATTTACAAGGGATGTTCATCATAGAATTATCTGTAGTAGTAAAAAACTGGAAACAATCTAGATGTTCATCAACTGTGGAGTAATTAACACATTTCCATGCTAGATTATATGCAATTGTTTATAAAAAGAGGTAGATTTATGGGCCGGCCGAGTGGCGCGATGGTTAAGAACTGGCTTGGGATGCCAGAGGGCCCCGGTTCGGAGCCCACATATGAGGGCCAGTGACACTGCCCTCTACAGCTAAGATGCTAAACAACAGCTCAACCTGGAGCTGGGCTGCCATGAGTCGCAGGCTACGGTATAGGCTGCAGCCCCTGTGCAGTGGGTTGCCATGGGCTACCGTGTGTAGCAAGCAGCCAGTGTGAGCGGCCAGCAGCCGCAGTGAGCGGCCGTGCAGAAGCTGGCGACTGATCTGCCTCGCCCGGGAAGAGCATAATGATGGTGCCAACTTGGGCCAGTGAAGCAACGTTCTCCACAACTAGATTGAAGAACAAAACCACAGCAACTTGTCTGTTCCCCTTCCCCCAATTCCCCAGCGTTGTTCCCATCCCCCCCAATTCCCCAATAAAAATCTTAAAAAAAAAAAAAAGAGGTTGATTTATGTGTCCTGACCTGGAAATCTCTCTAATACATTTTATAGTGAAAACTCATTCAAGTTCAGGACATCACATATGTAGACCATACCATTTGTGTAAATTTAAATTTCCATAATAATGAAGCTATGTTTTTTTATGCTTACTTATAGGAATATAAATGCACAGAGAAAAGTTTAAAGAATGTACACCAAATTGATATCTTCTGCTAACTTTGGGTAGGAGACTCTGGGATTTATTGGAAGTAATATCAGGGATCTTTTACTTTTCCTATATTTTGTACTTTTCTGTATTTCACTATCTTCTGTATTGTTTGAAATTTCAAAATGTGAATGTATTTACGTCTTACCTATAAAATTATTCTTTCTTTTGTGTATAGTTGTAGCTTATACTTAATTCCTCAAAAGCAGAAGAAAGGAAGAATATGGGGCTTTAGAGTTACATGGCTGTGTGACTTCAAGAAACTTGCCCAATAACCTGGGACCTGACTCCAGATCTGTAAAATGGGGTAGTTTGTTGTGAAGATTAAACTAGATACTAGATGTGCAGCTGAGCTCCTGGTACATAGAGAGTGTTGGCTGAACATTTCTCTCCTCCATCTGGCCCATGAGAACCTCAAGAGCCAAGAATGAACATACCTCAGTTACCTGTCTATCCTGGATGACTGTGCAGATAGACGCTCAGTCACGTTTGTTGAAAGAATGAGTGAATGCACATTGGTTAACTGTTGATAAATAAACATAAGTTCACATATATTCATTGTTAATGGGTAAACAAGAGATGCCTTTACGGCTTCCACCAGGAAGATCAAATGCTTCTGGTTTGTGAAAACAAGAAATCGAAGGAAATCAGAGATCCAGGCCAGAGGGAAAGAGTTTTTAGAGCAGGATGACTCATCACAAAGATCTGATGTTTTCCAACTTTCTTCTTCAGAGCCCCAGGCTCTGTGGAGTGATAGGGTCGCCATGGGCAGGGTTGTGGGTACTAGAAAGCAAAGCTGAGACCCAGTCTCCAGCCTGAGAGGCTGAACATACTAATGGACAGTGGCCAGGTCACATATGACAATGACAATAGAAGTCTTAACCCCGCCCCCACCCCCCCCACCCCCTGCCCTATCACCACCACCACCACCAACCTCTGCAGCAACTAGCCTGGGAAGCCAAACCATAACCTCTGCAACTACTGTGTTTTGCCCGAAAATCAGATCTAACTGGAAAATAAGCCTAGCATGATTTTCAGGGTGCTTGTAATAGAAGCCCTACCCCAAAATAAATGCCAGTTAAGATCGTCAGCCAGACATGACTGCATTTGAATACATGTAGATTTCGGTACATGAATAAATGAATAAAATGCATCTTTTGGAGCAAAAATTAATATAAGACCCCGTCTTATTTTCAGGGAGACATGGTATCAGCCCAGAAAGTTTAGGTCTTGGTGGATGAGTGTCAGTTTCTCTAATTTTTGCCCTTGCTGCCTCCTCTGTTTCCAACTCAGGACCAAACAAAGTGAGCCAAATGTACTCTCCAAACCAATCTCATAAGACGCTTTGCTTCTAGTTAGCCCACCCCCAGCTTCCCATGCCAACGGCCTCCAGTCAGAACGCACCTGCAGTCTTCCCTCCTTTTCACTGTAAAGCTTTCCCACTCCTCGCCTGCCTTTGAGTCGCTGCGAAAAGCGAATGATGGCAGCTGACTCCCTTGCTATATAGAAAGCTCTGAATCAAACAGCCTCTGTTTGTCCTCATTTCAGTGATCTTTGTTTATTTCCACAAGGCCTTCTCCCACATTTCAGCTAGATGGTAGGTACATGTTCTATATTGGGGTCTATATATAAGATTTTGCTTAAAAAGTTCTACTGCTGAATTTTCTTTAAAAAAATCACCAATGTAAATTAATGCCAAGAGCCAAACTACTCAAGGAATCTGAGGACGGATGCTCGGCTTGCATTAAACTAAGAAAGAAGCAAACAGTGCCCAGAGAGACAGCAGCAAAGGGCGGCCAAACAAAGGCAGGGCTGCATCTGGACAACGGGCAGAGGCTTCCAGAGATCTCTGTAGGCTTTGGTCCATAAGTTAGGCACAGCTGAGTCCAGAAACTACGGGAACTGGAGTGCCTAGGTGGAACGCTTCCTATCAGCCTCTCCTCAGGGCTGGGCTGGAGTTAACCACAGTTATAAATCTGTTGAAATGTTCAACTGCCAGAGATGCAGACAAATGAACCAATTATATAAATAAAGCCTTAGGGGATTTAAAAAAAGAAGATAGCTGGGAAGATCCCAGCTCCTACCTCTATGGGGAAATGGCTTCTTGGATGCTGGGATTGGAGCCTGGCCCATCTACCCATGACTATGTGTCTGTCTGAAATCCTAAAATGCTCACCATCATTCTATGCAGCCTTTAAGGCTATTTGAAATAAATTATTCCTGTTTCTCAAATTGGTGAATGTCAATAGATGTCTCAGCAAAAAAAAAAAAAAATTTTGCAGTCAAATAACTTTTGGAAATACTGGATAAAACCAAGTTACACAGCTTTCACTTTTAGCAGAACACTGCAAACCTTTCAATATGCTGATCTATATTGTGTATCTGCAAGAAAGGGATACAGTATATAGCATTTTCTGAACTTATTTAACCATAGAAGTTAATTTCCTGCCCACCTCTTTACATTTATTTCCCTGAACACCATTCTATGGCAGATAATTTCAGACACTGGTTTGAGATAATGGCTACCTTTCAGAGGAAAACTATTAGCTGGTTAACACCTCTTATCATCCACTGTAACTCACCAAAAGGAGGCTCAGGAGGCCCCAAAGGAAGGGGCACACGAGGGCAATTTTGATTGGAGAAGGGAGAAGATAGGATCATAAAGCAGAGCCGGAGGCTAATAGAGGTTACCGTTGGGTCTCCAGTCAGCCTTGCACAGTTTTAGGGTACTAGATATTAAATTCCAGTTGGAGGAAGTCAAAAATTACCTTCACCTGGCTTGTCATTTTTCTTAACCAGCCCTAGTATCATTATCTCTAGAAAGATAGAGTGGCCAGGACAACTACTGTATTGGATGAAAATAGAGATTCAGGCGAATGATTCTTGTATAGCCCTTCACCAATGATGGCCCATCGTCTTATTTTAGAGTTGAGGTCACCCAGGGTAGAGAAATGATGCAACTTGCCTGATGACCCAGCAAAGCCACTTTGCTTTCTGCACCCACACCATGAAGTCTTTGATGGACCACAGGGAAGGGGAGTAAAGCGTTACAAGAGTTCCAGGCTCACTTACTTTAGAATGACACAGCCCGTGCCTGCTGGTGGCGCTATCCAGAACACTTGGATCCGTGTCCTCCTCCGCGGGGTGCTTTCAGTCACCGCAACAGGGCAGTTACTCATAAACTGTGTTTCTTCTTCATCTATGATCTGTGGAAAACCAGCGGAAAATAAACACATTAAAATGCGCTTCGCTTTGGGAAGGCTCTTAAAGTTTCCGAGTTGACACTTGCTTAATTTTATTTTTAAACCTGTCATTTTCTGTTAGCAGCTCTAGATCCCCAGACACCAGAAGAGCGCCTGGCACAGAGTCCCAGTCAATGCTTGTTGAATTAACATGAGGGCAAGGATTTGGCACAGGCTCCCCTGTGCTCTCTGAGACCAGGATCTTGTGTCAGCACTTGGAGGAACAGGCCACTAGGTGATGATCTTGTTCGTAGCACTAAGATAAACTGTGTCCCACTTCAGGGAAGGAAGGGAAGGAGAGGGAAGAGAAAAATCCAAAGCAAACACTCTCTGTATAGTGGGATGTTGTAATTCAGCTACAATTTTATAACTTGAAATTAAAATGTTAGAAGAAAATATCCCTTTGGAGGAAGCCTACCAAAGTACATAAAGTCCCCCAGCTTCAGAGCTTTGTTTACTTGTGCAGTCTCTACTTTCTTAATTGGTGCATTATATTTAGTGCTCTCCCAAGTTAGCCATCGAGGTTCCCTATGACGCTGCAAAAAAGCTGGTCACCATCCCCATCTCCCAAGGCTGCTTTCAGCATTTCTCCTGTTTGCTTCTGGGTCTGCTGCCAGTACTTGCCTAACCATCTAATAGAACCATAGACTATTAGACCTAGAAGGATCTTTTGGGGGAAATCATCTGAATCCTATTGGTCTTAAGTGCCAACTCCAGTTGGTTGGGAGCAGCTGTGTCATGAGAGTGTTAATAACATTAATAGATAGCAGTCATTGAGTGTTTAGTATGTGCCACGCACTAAACTAAGTGCTTTTCTCTGAATTACTCATTTAATCTTCAAATGTAATCTAATGAGATCATTATACCCACATTGTATTTCTTTTACTTGTAAGAATTCCTCTTCTTTTTAGCACAGCAGATAAAATTCAATCGCACTCCTCAGTTCATCATATTTTCATCACTGGACAATGCAAAGGCAATCTTCTAGTACCTTTTGTTTATCTCTATACTCTTTACCCTACTCCTATTTCCATCCTCTTTTTAGCACCTACTCCTAAATATTTAATATCTGTCCTTCTGGGTATGTGTGTGTATATATATTACTTACTTGAAGTTATATAGAATCGTTCTGTGAGTATTTTAATGTTTCTTTCATTTAACCTTACGCTTTTGGGATACGTCAATGGTATTATATGTGAATGTAATTCATTGATTCTGACTGCTGCCTAGTAATCCACTGCATGCATAGACCACATTTTACTTATCCACTCTCCCACGGAGAAGCACTTAGCTGACTTCCGGATCTTTGCCTCCATAAACATTGCTGCAATGAAGATTCTCATGCAGCTCCACTTGTGAACCCAGATGAGAGTTTCTCAGTGATGTAAATCACGTCGCAGGATTGCTGGGCTGCTGGGTTGTAGGTATAATCATTCATTTCACTAGGTACTGCCAGCTGGTTCTGTAGAATGGTTAGACCTACTTTAATTCTATTAGCTGTGCACCAGTGTTCCCATTTCCCCACACCCTCACCAGTACTGTGATTGCTGGTCTTTCTAAGAGTTTCCAGTCTGATGGGAGTAAAGTAGTATCTTGTTTTAATTTAATACGAGCAAATTTGAGCTCCTCTTCACAAACTGACCAGGTTGCTTCTGTGACCGGCCTACTCAGAATCTTTGCCAGATGTCTTTTCCTTGCTGATTTGCAGCACTTTCTAGATATGAATCCCTCATCATTTACAAATATCTTCCTGTCACTCGGAGGCTTGTTTTATTTTTGGAATTCTTAATTTGACAGAAATAACTTCCCCCTAGTCAAATTCATCAGTGTCTCTCCTATGGCTTCCACGTCTGTGGTCTTGCCTAAAAAACTGAGATCATGAAGATCTTCTCCAATATTTTCTTCCACTAGCTTTATAATTTTACCTTTCACATTTAGGTCTTCAATCCATTTGGAATTTAGTTTTTAAAATTGTGGAATAGGGATCCAACTGAATTTTCTCCATACTGTGAGCTATTTTTAAAAAATTATTAAACGTTTATTTATTTATTTAGTGTAGTTTTAGGTTTACAGCAAATTTGAGAAGGTACAATGAGTTCCCACATACTTGGTGTCCCCACACGTGTGCAACCTCTTTCATTATCAACATCCAGCACGAGAGTGCTACATTTGTTATAATCAACGACCCTACATTGACACATCATTATCATCCAACTTCCATAGTTTACATTAGGGTTTACTCTTGGTGTTGTGTACGAGGTCTGACAAATTGGTGAACTTGCCACCGTGCGCGCTGTGCAAACAGCTCTGTAAGGTTTCATAACCTTGGTATATCAGTGTCTCACAGCTGTGTTTGTGTCGACGTGTGGTGGTGTCTTGCTGAGTGGTGTTCATTATTGTTGTTGTGTGTTTTTCTGTGCTGTCATGAGATTGTCTGAGCTTGAATTAGAGCAACGAACAAACATTCAATTTCTTGTTAAACTTGGCAAGAGTGGAAGTTAAATCAGGGATGTGTTAGTCCAAGTTTATGGGGATAATGCCATGAAGAAAATGGCAGTGTACAAATGGATTAAATGTTTTTCTGAGGGGAGAGAACACGTCATTGATGAAGAGAGGATCAGGGTGGCCAGTAACAAGTAGAACTGATGAAAACATTGCAAAAATTTGTCAAACTGTGCGTCAAAATCGTTGGCTGTCTGTGAGAAGCATAGCAGACCAAGTAAACATCGAAAGAGAAACAGTTAGGAAAATCTTAACTGAAAATCTTGTCATGAGAAAGATGTGTGCAAAAAATGGTCCTGAAGGAGCTTTTGCATCACGACAATGCACCAGCTCACACGGCACTGTCTGTGATGGAGTTTTTAGCCAGTGAACAAATAACTGTATTGGAACACCCTCCCTACTCACCTGATCTGGCCCCCAATGATTTCTTTCTTTACACGAAGATAAAGGAAATATTGAAAGGAAGACATTTTGATGACATTCAGGACATCAAGGGTAATATGACAACAGCTCTGATGGTCATTCCAGAAAAAGAGTTCCAAAATTGATTTGAGGGGTGGACTAGGTGCTGGCATTGGTGTATAGTTTCCCAGGGGGAGTACTTTGAAGGTGACCTTAGTGATATTCAGCAATGAGGTATGTAGCACTTTTTCTAGGATGAGTTTGCGAACTTAATTGTCAGACTTTATATGCTATGAGTTTTGACAAATGTATAAAGGTATGTGTCTTCCATTGTAGTATTGTACATTGTAGTATTATACTGAATGGTTTCACTGCCTTAAAAATCTTATGTGCTCTACCTAGTCATCCTTCCCTCCCCAACCCCTGTTAATCTTTTAATATAACCACTTATTAGTTCCAGGACTTTTTAGTCAATTTTTTTCAGATTTTCCTACATAGATAATCATGTTATCTGTGAGCAAAGACAGTTTTGTTTCTTCCTTTTCAACCTGTATACCTTTTATTTCCTTTCCTTGTCTTGTTGGATTAGCTAGGACTTCCAGTATGATGTTGAAAAGCAGTGATGAGAGGGGACATCCTTGCCTTGCTCTTGACCTTAGCAGGAAAGCCTCAATTTTCTTACTAGTAAATATGATACTAGCTATAGGTTATTTTTGTAGATGTTCTGTATCAAGTTGAAGACATTCCTCTCTAATCCTAGTTTGCTGAGAGTTTTTATCATGAATGGGTATTGGATTTTGTCAAATGCTTTTTCTGTATCTATTTATATGACCATGTGATTTTTTTCTCTTTAGCCTTTTGATGTGGTGGATTACACTTACTGAATTTTGAATGTTGACTCAGCCTTGCATTCCTGAAATAAACCCCACTTGGTTGTGGTATATAATTCTTATATAGTGTTGGATTCAATTTGTTAATATTTTGTTGAGAAAATTTGCATCTTTGTTCTGAGAGATACGGGTGTGTAGTTTTCTTGCAATGTCTTTGTTTGGTTTTAGTATTAGGGTGATGTTTGTTCATAAAATAAGTTAGGGAGTGGAGAATTGGTATAATTTCTTCCTTAAATGTTTGATGCAATTCACTAGTGAAACCATCCGACACTGGTGCTTTTTGTTTTGGAAGGTTATTAATTATTGATTCAGTTTCTTTATTACATATAGGCCTATTCAGATTGTCTATTTCTTCTTGTGTGAGTTTTGGTAGATTGTATCTTTCAAGGAATTGGGCAACTTCACCTACGTAACCAAATGTGCGGGCATAGAGTTCTTCACAATACTTCATTATTATTCTTTTAATGTCTGTGGAATTACTTTTTCTATTTCTGATATTAGTAAATTGTGTCTTCTCTTATTTTAGTCTGATTGGGGTCTTACAGGTTTCCTTGATCTTTTCAAAGAGCCAGCTTTTGATTTTGTTGATTTTCTCTATTGTGTTTTTATTTTCAATTTCACTGATTTCTGCTCTAATTATTATTTCTTTCCTTCCGCTTACTTTAAATGCAATTTGATTTCTTTTTTCTAGTTTCCTAAGGTGGAAGCTTAGATTATTGATTTTAGATCTTTCCTCTATTATGATATATACTTTCAGAGATATACATTTTCCTCCAAGCACTGCTTTTGCTGCATCCACAAATTTTGATAAGTTTTACTTTCATTTAGTTCAATATATTTTTAAATGTATCTAGACATTTCTTCATTGACCCATATCAATGTTAGTTAGATGTTGCTTAAACTCCAAATATTTGAGGATTTTCCAGTTGTCTTTCTGTTTTGATTTCCAGTTTAATTCCATGGTGGTCTGATAGCAGTCATTGTATGATTCCTATTCCTTTAAGCTTGTTGAGGTGTGTTTTTTTGCCCAGAACATGGTCTATCCTGGTGAATATTCCATGTGAGCTTGAGAAGAATGTGTAATCTGCTGTTGTTGGATGAAACAGTATACAAATGTCAATTATATCCAGTTGATTGATGGCATGGTTGAGTTCAACTATGTCCTTGCTG